TTCGTTTCTATCAAGAGCTTGGAAGTATTCGAGTGCCCTTTTAGCCCACACAATAGCTTTCGAGGAACAGCTCATGGTGAATTCAATGCTCAGTGAGCCTGATACCGAACAAATGACTACGGAGACATGCAGCTTATCGTTAGTTGCTCTGGATGGAGACTCGTGCTAAAGACTAGCGAGTGGTAAAGGCTCATTGCTCCAAACGCCAACTCTGAGGGCACACGGGAAATGCGAATATATTTGAAATTCATTTTACACCAGTAAAAGACTTTACAAGTAGGCGCAACCTACCAACATCCAAAAATACAGATCGCTTACGAACTGCAATCTTCTTTAAGTGTTCCTTCATTAACAACTGAATTTATCTAGTCATGTTGAAAAAAGTGTACTATATACCTTTGCAAACGGATATCCAATCTTATACGGCGTTGTCCAACGTCAGAGAGGAAAAAGATAAATTAATTGTTGAATTTGTCCACCACACACACACACCACAATCACTTTAGCATGGGGTGAAAATGGAGCGTTTTTATAACGAACATAAAAGCACCGAGTTAAGGGAGCACGTTACGGTCGATTTCGTACACGCGGTAAACCATGGAGAAGAAAGAAATATTTCATCCAGCAAAGGGGGATGTATTTGGTGTTACAGTTCATGTCCGCATGCATGGAGATGGTATCAGTCGTGCGCATACAAACCATTCCCAAACTCCCTTAATTAGAATTTTCATATTTTAGATCCGAATTATATTTAGATTCAATTATGTACGATTGAAGCCGCGTTCGTCAAGAAAAGGTAAGTATACTTTCTAACCACTTTCTTGAACTTTTCTATTTAGTAAATATATTTACATGCAAGTACGTCTTGTCTCAAAAAAGCAGTTGACACAAACGAATGGGAAAATCGGAAGAGAATTCCTTTCTATCGCGGTTGCTAGATACAGCTTACACTAAGGGCCGTATGCTATCCTCCCCGAAGGGGTTGGGGGACGAAAAGTCCTTTAAATTTTCTCTGTCTTCCCAATCTGGGATTGCCCTGATAAAGGACCTACATTTAATGTATGTATGTAGGTAAAAGTAAACATGCACTGAAAATGAAGAAACTATATCGTTCAAAACAAATAAATTTAAAGGAAACTTTGGATCACTTAGCTTCGGGGAAGCATAGCATACGGACCTAAATGAGACCTCTGCGTCGCTGTATAATTATCTTTATCAAAAATACTGGTTATTCACCAGATTCCGAGAACTTCTTCCGTGAACACTGCCTCCAAAAAAACCCCAAACATGATAACGTCGAATACGGTTAAGAGGAAAAGTAAGAAAATCCAAAGTCGATACAAATACTCAAGTACGACCACCTGAATAAACAACAAAATCGTCAACACACATTTTTGAACACAAGAAGGCCATAAAATTCTTTAATCAGCATTGCATATAAGTTACAAAACCTTTGAAGAAAACCCAACATGATGTGAAGACGCACACAAATAATCTATACGGATTGAATTTCCATTTGAAAACAAAAAAAGAGAATACGGGCGTGGGGTACGAGCTGAGCGAATTCGTCGGAAGCAAATATGTAAGAAGAGAGCAAGGAAGAAGAAGAGAGAAGTAAAGAGAGATGGAATACAGAGCTAGAGAGACGTGGGCGACATGAAGCGGCGTACCAAAGCGACAATGTCTGTATTTACTTCACTAGATTCGCGCGCTATTGAGCGAGCGCATCAGAGCGAGACACCCAAAGCGTTGCTCGCGTAGGTCGCACTAAAAAATTAGAAAATCGCAACTAAACAAAAAAGAAAATGAAGGGTGGGGAACTGTCTAAGGTGAGCAAGTGAAAACCCACAAATACACAACTTCTATACAGAACGTACCATACGATGAGAAGCTGCTGTTGAGAACTACTGCCTGTAAACGAGCGAGCAGAGCATCGAATTCTAGCCACAAATGAAACGTCTACGCCGCCGAGCAGAGGTGGGCGGGGCTCTTCTTGAAGCGTACGAGAAAGCAATCGAACGAAGCAGGTTTCCCACCCAAAGAAATTCAGCTCAGCGCAGATATCGCTTATGTGACTTAAAATTCAAACACTTTAAATAAGAAAATAGAAGCGTGCCGAGAAATTCTTCACAATAAAACACCTAATTTGTCACAAAGCATGCGCACGGCGGCCAAGCTTATGCGTGAGCTGTGATGTCACATAGAACCTTACAGCACGTCAATCAATGTGATATAAAAGGTGTTATCGAGTTAATATCAATCCTAACTTATATAAATAACTATGAATCGAACTAGTGACCGGCCATATCGAACCACATTTTTTTCTGGACAAGAGCACTTTCATGACGTGAAAACTTAAACACAATAATGATGATAATTAAGAAGACGATGACAAAAAAATCTAGACGATAATTCAGTGGCGAACGTTCGTGCTAGAGATGAAGAGAGAAGGAGAGAGACAGCGTAACGTCAGGCGTTTAAGAGCGTAAAGCTACGGCGAATAAAAAAAGAAAATCAATAAAAACGGGCCAAACTGAAAACACCGAAGTGGTACACGCTTCGACGATGTCTGTGTGTCGACATTCATATGTAACGTGAATTATTGTACTGGTATCTAGTAGAGCAACTGAATGAAGTTCAAGTGACAATATTGTGTAGATCAATAATAGAGCTCAATCAATTAACGATATCTGCGCGAAACCCGTCAGCGTTCGCTCATCAGGGATCTGAAATCAACAAACAGCAATGATGACCAACATAAAAGAGGGTGGCACTGAGTGAATGGCTGGGCCAATCTAGAACCTTAAAGACTCCAAATAAAGTGTGCGCAGCCTTTCTCATTTTGCTCATTGCTTAAATTTGAATTCGATATTTATCCAAACGCGTGAGAACAGGGAGTGTGATCAACACCTGGTAGTCCCTACACGTATCATACTTTCAACACTACTATGAACACATTGGCGACAGCATGACGCGCGCGTCAACGTGTTAAAGGCAGCGATTACGATAAATTCAAGAAGGGTTTAATGTGACGTGGTGGTGCTCAATGGTACGCCAGTAGCGAAAAAAGCAGAAAAATCCGTCAAGAAAACGCAAAACGGGACCCCTTTTTTGGCCGTTGGTTTTCACTCATGAACAGGTAACAGCTCAGAAAGCGGACGTATGAACGAGTTCGCAACGCGTTTGATGGCACCATGCCAAACACGCTTAATCGAGATGCTCCATTTGCGCCGCTGCTGGCCACGCAGCTCGTCCAAATCAACAAGTAAACTAGTGGGCGGATCGCTTTTTTGGGGGGGATCGCTTTTGGGGCGGAGCTTTCGAAGTCCTGCTCAGCAACCAGCGCACCTTTCGTTGTGAAAGCGCCACATCTCGCTTCCCTGGCAGCCAAGTAACTGATTCGTGTGGTGCATATGCTTCCCGATGCGCTCCCTCTTTATCGTAATCGCTGCCTTAAAACACACTGTTGAGCCTTTCAAGCAAACAGTTGGTCCTAGAGCACAAGATAATTAAGGGACGAAGCCCAATAACCAGGCTTGGACAGCGCGTTTGACCTACCCAGCGTTCACGGAAAACTCATAAAGGTCACTAAGTAGGTGTTTCCAGCAATAGCATAAGGCGGTGCGAAGGATATGGCTAGATGGCTTTATGGTCCCCGTGAGGCGATTTCGATGTGAACATCTTCGCCGCATCACGATGGGGATGATTGCAATATGCACTAGCAATGCAAAACTATTAAATTATTACACTGTGCGCGGTATGATGTACGAAAAAGAATGACAGAGTAAATTCAAATAGTTGCATGACAGTTTTCCCATGACTTACCTCATTTGGAGCGACGCCAGAGTTGAGTGCGAATGTTACTGATCGCTTTTCACTCTTCTGCTCAGCGAGGTCAATGAGCTTCTGCAGGTTTGCAGCCACAATCACCAGATCATGGCAGTCAATTAATTCAGCAGTCACCAATTCATGCGCAATCCCTTCCACTGAAAAAAAAGATGTAACAGCCATGGAATGCTATGTGAAGCGATAACGCGGTAGCGGAATGATTTTCCCATAAAGCCAGTTGTACATGAGAAGATCGTCAAAGTCAGCTATTTTCCTGCAAACGATTGGAGAAAAGTAACCCTTGGTCATCAAGCATACATATAGTCGAGCGACACCATCTACCCGTGCCTCTGTCCTAGTCAAAAGACAACTATGGAAATCAACGTAGTATCCTATATCTCTTTCAAGAAAAAATACAAACGGAAAACAATACAGGAAAACAACCACAAATTGACTAACCTGTGTCTGCAGTTCGAGTATAGTCAAACTTGATATCATTTAGTTCACGCTGCTGATTCCTCACACGCAGTACCTACGAATCATAGCACCATTTACCAAAGTTTAACAGAAATCGAACGCCGATCAATTAAGGCTTCCAAGTAATTCGATGTATATTTGGCCGCTTTTCGTGATTTAAAAATGAAAGGCTTGTTTGCACAACTTTATATGCGGTACAATATTAGCTATTATTACTCAACCGCAAAACGCCTCACAAATCGCATCCGGAAAAATCAATTTTATCTACTCCTCTAATTAGCCGAATTATTATTGCAGCCGGCCGGCCAGCGCCATAGCGTTGCCTTCAGAATTGAGCATAATAATTCTCTATCCGCCCAGAAAACCACATATCCATTTCAGAAAACAACACTTTTGATGTTGAAACCTGCTTTCATCTAACCCCTCCTTCCCAAATCAAATGCCATGATAACACAAATTGTCAATTAAAATATCCAAAATAACGAAACAAAATAAAAGAGCAGAAACCCACAAGATTCAAGGTTTCACCCGGAGCACCTATTTCCTCAGTATTGGGATTCTCGGCGTTGGTCGTTGAAGTGACCGCGCCTTTAGCCGTTTGCACATCATCTTCATCACTTGATTCACTACCTGCTGGAGAGTCGTATTCAAATTCCCAGTTACCATCTTTATCCTTCCGCAGTTTTCCCGATGCAACCTGAAAACAGGTTTCGAATAAGCTCATGCGGAGCACACAAAACGAACTCAGTAACTGGAAAAATTGTGTCAGAATATTTGAGACACCCACCTTCTTAGTATTATGATGACTGATCACTGGTACAGCTGCGAGATTCTCTATCAACGAGTGAACAAGATATTTGCGATCTTTCGCCTTTTTGAAAAACGAGTACTTAAGAAGTTCTGAGGCTGTCGGACGTTTCGTTGGATCCTTCTTTAACAAGCCTTGTTAGCAACAATAAGGCAACCATCTCAAACCGTAATAAAGAAAAGATTTTGCGCTCTAAAAGTAAGCTTCTATTTAAGGAAGCACAACACCTGAAACAGTCCTTCTAAGCGCGGAACGACTTCCCATAGGCTTTATACTGATCTTTCCTATCAGCATTTGTCTCTAATGTAGGCGGATCATTTTGCAACGTGAGCATCAACACCTAAATAATTTTTTCAGAAGAAAAAACATAAACAGCACACGCCTATTTGCCATGTACAAAATCTCTATCCAATTAGACGCTGAGTAGTTCGAACTTTTTTAGCACTAGAATTCTTGATAATCTAGGTGAGTTCTCATTTCAGTTACTGCTATACATTCAACTGATCTACTTTTGACTTACGACGATGACATAACCGTTACTACCTTTCACATGATTTTTGTAAATGTTTCACATATAAATAAATGCAGAAATGAACGAAAACATAACAACAAGTTTCTACAAACTGACCTTCATGGGTGGAAACTTGTGATATGGAGCGGTACCAGTAGCAAGTTCAATAGCAAGAATTCCCAAACTCCATATATCAGCTTTGAAATCATATCCTTGAACTTGTTCCATCACTTCTGGTGCATCCTAAAATAGTTACCTCCTTGTCTGATTCCCACCCACCCATGATCATGACCCAACCCAAGTCCCACCTAACCCCACGCGCGCCGCACCCGTCTCCCGCCCTACCAGATCTTACACCCACCCCACGCCGCGAACGTGGATATTCCCGAACCATCTCGTTAGCACATGATTAATATGATAAAGAATTCTACTGTTAATTGTGAAATAGCCAGCAACATGATTCAAAAACATCCACGCTATCCCCCTACCGTTATACCCCGAATTAACGAGGCCAAAACCCACCAGCAAGGTGTGCCGACGAATGTGTGACGAACCTTCTGAAACGCAAACACTTGTGTTACACGACAAAAGACCTATTTCGAGATTCGGTCCACGATGCAACATACGGAAGATTTAGGGAGCGATAAATTGAGCGTCTTCATAAAATAATTTTGGCAAAATTCTTAACTTATGGTGAATTTTAGTTCGTATTTCTAGACGCTCAACCTAACCACCAATCCTAATATCCTCCGGAACTGTCAGCGTTTCATAATATACGGACTCAGCTGTAAAAGCAGTAGGTCGACCATAGACTATAACGTCAGCTAACGCAACCACATTTCTTTCGCAAAAGTCCAACGCATCTTAGATTTACTTCAAAGCAGCACTTTTCCACAAAATCCAAAATATCCTCATAAAACCTTCGTCACCATAGGCATGACGTATACAACAAACAACAAATTCTAGAATTCGGCTGAGTTGGAAATTGGATTCGAATAGATCACATTTTGTGCAACAAAGGCCAGCCGGGAACAAGTATTCATTATCTTTTCCAGTAAGCCTCGGAAAGCAGCATGAAAATGCAACAGCGCCCATGAAAAAGTTCAGATGGAAAACTCGACAACTATCTATGACTGACTAAACATCTTGGGTATTAAGTGTAGTGCGTGAAGACAGAGGAGTGAAGAGGGAAGATTTCACAGATGAGAGAACAGAGATTCAAGTCAAAAAACATCTTCAACAACAGTTTTCATAGCATAATATGAGCTCACAATGATAGACCTCCGTTGCACTGTTTTCGCTTATTCGAAAGAATCACCAACTCTAAGGCCCGTTTAAAGGGTACCGTCCCTATATGTGAAATAGGTCACCTAATGAATTGTTGCATACGTATGCACTATGTGATAGCCGGCAGTTCACATGTGCAGGACCGTCTCAAAGAACTTTGCATACCTGACGTGATAGATCACCGCCGGATGACGCTAACCAACCAGATACAACCAAAATCAGCTATCTGCACAGTACCATCATCAGAAATAAGAATATTACCCGCCTTAAATTCACAAATAGTTATACAAAGGTGAGTGGGAACGTTACAAATTAATATAAGGCATCCGAAAACCACAAAAACTCGCCTACCTTTATATCGCGATGAATTTGACCACTAGAATGAAAATAGTCAAGACCTTTCAATACTTCACGCAATACAGTAGCGATTGTTGTTTCATCTAATACACCATACATTGCTTGCTCCTTCCCGATAGCCTGACAAATCGAGGTATGGAACGCTTTCAAACCATACACGAATAGATCTCGAATGTGAATTTCCCACCTACCTTGATCTTCCTTTTTCAAGATGTCCAACATTGAACCACTGTCGTCAAAGCAATCGCATAACTACCCAAAGCTCTTCTCCCACAACGAACGATGTATGATAACTGACTACATTAGGGTGCGCACATAATGACATCGCCTGAAAACAATTAAACTTCTTCCACATGATTTTTTTTTCAAACAGGCATGTCTTAATTTGAAGCTTGAACTCTAGAATGCAGAAATTCAATGAAGCCCTAAAGCAATTATCTAGAGACAGTTTTTACACTGGACAGAAACAACTTCCAGCGGTGCAACTACTAAGTATTTACCAGACTCGTTTGAATAGCCGGTAAGAGTGCTGTTCGATTCGTCCAGTTTTGCCTAACTCAGCATTCCTGCATTATTATTCACGTGAAACGGCGATGATAAAGATGAGTGTCAAGTAAAAACAAGTTACAGCCATTCATAGCTTCTCCTCTGCAGCCTGATTAAGCATAGACGTACGGTTATCAAACGTCCAGAAATGCAATTCTACCCACAGAACAGGTATGTATGCTATACGAAGTTATTACGTGAGAGTAACTGTTTGTAATTCATGTAATAATATGCAACATAGTAAAATGATTATCGCAAATTCAATACTTACTTGGATCTCGTGACTAAGTTCATCGACTGACGTCTGGCACTTCTCCAAATTGATACATTTAATCGCACAACGTTCATTGCGTGGAATGCACAGCGCCTGTACATAAGTAGATATGTAACCTTTTCATATTCACTATCTAGATATGCCATGTGTCATATATCTGATTGTTGTTTCAAAAATTGGATTATGAGTGCAAAAATTGAATAAATCTTGTAACATAGGTTCAAATTGGAATTCAAAGATTAACAATCCCTCTCAGAGCTTTGAATAGCAACGAAAGTATTTCAAAGGTTATCAGTGCGATCTCGTAACACTCGTAATAAACAGGTTTTACAGTGATGGCGATGGGCATCACAGAACTGGATAGAAGCATTCAGGTTCACATTAGAAATTCACAAGAATTTGTAAAAAAGGTCATGACTAGGGAGTGAAGAAATCCAAAATATCAAGAGAGTTACAGCATTATTCTTGCTGTTCTTTTCTCAGTGTAAGCAGGAACGAAAGGAATGAAGACTTCGTGTCCCTCGAGCGAGGAGGGTCCACTGGACAACTCTTGCACGCGACAGGGACGAATGGAGACGTTGCTGGCGCCCGCTCGAGCAATTCGATGATCAACGGGACGACAGGTGATACAGGTGATATGCAACTAGGCTAATCGCAACCAGCAAAAGAGCATTTTGTGGGACTGGTAAAATGACACGGCAACCGCACTTTACGGATAGAAACGGTCTTGTTCTCTTGAACTTGAAATGAAACTTCGTAAAAAGGTTTCCATAAATGTGAGATTTCAAAACAAAGTCTTGCCAATTCGAGGAAAAAGGTTGAATGATGAACTGTTCACTGACCTTGTACACAGTGGCCGTTGCGCCGACTCCGATCGCATCTTCGAGCTGGTAGTGTTCTTTTCTGTTTGGCCACACCTGACCACTGGCTGACTGCTGTTGTTGACCGGGCGTTCCGACATTACCTGCTGCCATCAACGTCGACTGCTGATGTAGTGCTTCGCCTGAGCCGCTGCTTACCATCGAATTGGCCAACCCACCGGCAGCGACAACGCCGCCACCTCCGCCTTCAGTCGACCCCATCTGCAATCGTCAATACAAAAATCGATTGCATTTCAATACATTTCTCTCTCAATGTGATCAGCACATAATACAAATATCAACGAGCAACCACACATGAAATTACTGTCATAAACAAACACGGAACAAGTCTCACTTTACACTCGCTTACGATCGACATTTGGCGGAAGAATTGGAAGAATAGGAACTCTTCTATCAGAATGATACCCCAAAACGCTCGACTGTCTAGCACCACAGGAATTTTAATTGGAAATTATTCACAAATCTCTTGAAAGAACACCGCACTCCCACTCAAAATTTGAAGGAACGCCTGGAAATCTGAAGAGGAGTAGCACTAACTCAACGAAGAGAAGACGTTCTCGAAACCTTCCCAGTAATAAACTGCAAACTGTGAGGTTTATAGGGTAGCCATCGAGAGCATACTGAGCATAGACTTTAGAACGAATCTGTTGGCCAAAAAAAAGTCTGTCATTTTAGAATAATCACAGTTTCATTCATCCAGCCCAGTAATCGACCCAATAAAAGGCAGAAATGGCTACTATTGTACCAACCGAGACAATAGCGAAAAATTGAAAGATAAACCCATCAAAAGCTTCGCGAGACATACCGCATGTTATTGAAGAGAACTCACTGGAGCAAAAATAACGCAGGTTGTCTAGACCAATTTAAAACGCTAATTTGGTGAAGCTCGGCAACTGTCGTTCAAAATTAGCCGACAAAAATATTAATTGAATAAAAAAACAAAAAGAAAGTCAGGAAATAGATGTGACACGGAGGCATTATACAGTCACAATTGCAAACCCCAAAAGGGCAAGGTTCAATATATTCACGATCGACAAAGATAATGCGATGTTGCGAACAAAAACCGTCATGTTAATTTCTGATATGCTTCCGAAACTTGCGCGTGATTGGCGCGTAATATACGTAGCTTCACAGCATGTCTTACAACTGACTCCATTTTTCACTCAGAGAAATCGAGAGCCGAGAGCGAAAATATGATTTTCTAAGAATGAACAGTGGGAATCATCATCTGCGACAGTATGATCAATTGAGAACTTGTCTAGAACAGCAAGATGAACATGAATCGGAATGAAAATAGATATTTGGGATCCATTTGACAAGTGAAACTATGCACGTAGAAAATCTGCTCCAAACAATACTTCTGAGTTCATAGAGTTAGGCTGGTCGAGGAACTGTAATTCCCCGAACTACGTTCCCAACAAAGAACCACCATACCACATGATCACCAGAAATAGACTCCTGACAAATTGGTCTGTCATCGAGTACTGCCCTTTGCTCATGACTGCCTAAGGTTGGTGTCAGAGTCCGCGATCCGTCGCAGGTTTCGCTGATTTGCGCGCGATTTTTCGCGATTCACGCGACGGGTCACGGAAATCACAAGTGCCCGATCAATACTGCAAGGTGTTCTCCAATCCTGCCGCCACTTCTGCTTGATGGTGATGGCTGAATGACGACTGCTCATGATTCCACTTGTTTCATATTCAGTGTTTCAAATGTTCAAATGGGGCACTTGCAATTTTTGCGATCGCGCGAATCGCGCGAAACCTGCGACGGATCGCGGACTCTGACACCAGCCTAAACCTTCACGGTGCTTTGGGGCGATTATTTCCTTGAGGGAGACATTCAAGACAGGGGGTGACGCTAGGACTAGGCCCGGCAGAGGGAAGAAACATAACAGTGAACAAAAATTGCTCACAATCTCACTCAGGATTCCTCCCCACCTAAATTTAGTCCCAAGTACTGTGAGTGGCTCACTTAGTTAAATGTTGCACCCGCCAAGACATGAATGCCTTCTTTGGCGCTCATGTCCTTAGGGGGACATTCAGAACAGGGCATTCAAAAACCGCTGGTAGGTGACACTAGGACTAAGCCCAGGACTGGGAATAAATACAAGGGAGAACAATGGTTGCTCACAAAATCCTTTCCCCTCCCTAAAGCTTAGTCCCGAGTTCTATCAGTGGCCCACTCACTTCAATGTCCCCCCCCCCTAAGGACATGAGCGTCCCTTACTTTTGTACCATACTACTTTTGCATCATGTTTCTAGAACAGTAATTGTGAATTGGTCTAGAATTATCGCCATCTTGTAAGCTAATGAAATTGCAGAGATAAACGGAATTCAAAGCACTGGGTTCGTAACTATGATCGATATCACTATCCTTGACATAACTTGTAATGTATAAATCCCGATTTCAACAACAAACATCGAAAATAATCATCTTGACAACAATATAAAGGAGCATCGGTTGAGAGAAAAAATGTTCCAGGTAGCCACGAAAAGGGTACGGAAGGAGAAAAAATATTGCGAAAACGAGCCGCATTAGGGACGCTTTCACAGTCGGCGTCCGATCGTAAAGATCGCGCAGCATTAGATACGTATCGATCGTCCGATCGACCAACGCGGCCAATCGGATCGGACGGTCATCTAATGCTGTGCGATCGCTACACTCGTTACGATTGGACTACCGACTATGATAGCCCCTAAGTCACACAATAAGTCGCTACATTTAGCTTTTGCACATACCGTACACTCGCTAGCTTTTTCCTTGAAGCTACACGTCTTCTTCAGAGGGTTTCGCATTGTGACGTTGTTCACCTTTCGAAGCAAATCCATTGTAAGCCCAAGTAGCTTACACCAGCACCAGCCACCCTTCTTCGTGAAGCACCAACAATCAACAGCAACGCGGATGGAATGAAGCAAGCACTTATAGCAGCGATATCTAATCAATGAATGCTTCAACATTTCTTTTACCATGCAAACGACGAGCGGTGTAAGAATTGTTATCAAGAGCATCCAGTACACACTGAACTGGTTTCTTTCAAGGGCTACCAACCTTTTCTGTAAGTTTCGTAACAGCTGCCGCTTATCAGATGCTAACAAAGGCCTGCTGTAGAACCAGGAAGCCTTTTTATAGGTGCTTGCGCTGAGAAAAGTTTTTATAAAGCAGCAGCATAACTAGATTCAAAAAAGAATTCCAAATAGAACAGTGGTTTCCTTATGTGCTGTACGAGTGAGGTGTAAACCAAGATCGTGGACGACTATCTCGACGTTTTCATACCGCCAGAACTGCCCCAATAAGAAGTAGATCCTTTGGTCGCAGGATAAGGGCGCTCATGCCCTTGGAGGGGGGGGGGACATTGGCCACTGATAAAACTCGAGACTAAGCTTCAGGGAGGGGAGACGAATTGTGAGCAACCATTGTTCTCTCTTGTGCTTATTCCCAGT